TAGCCCCTTCCAGAGCTGAGATATCGAAACTCAAAAATTCGGCCCGAAAAAAAAACGACAGTGGTACCCCTTACGTTTTTTTTTTTGGGCGAAAAATTAAGTTTCTCCAATCTTCCCAAAACTCTGGATTCTGATAGAGGGCCATGAGACTTAGACCTGAGTGCAAAAATGGAGGCTCTAGCCCCTTCCAGAGCTGAGATATCGAAACTCAAAAATTCGGCCCGAAAAAAAAACGACAGTGGTACCCCTTACGTTTTTTTTTTTGGGCGAAAAATTAAGTTTCTCCAATCTTCCCAAAACTCTGGATTCTGATAGAGGGCCATGAGACTTAGACCTGAGTGCAAAAATGGAGGCTCTAGCCCCTTCCAGAGCTGAGATATCGAAACTCAAAAATTCGGCCCGAAAAAAAAACGACAGTGGTACCCCTTACGTTTTTTTTTTTGGGCGAAAAATTAAGTTTCTCCAATCTTCCCAAAACTCTGGATTCTGATAGAGGGCCATGAGACTTAGACCTGAGTGCAAAAATGGAGGCTCTAGCCCCTTCCAGAGCTGAGATATCGAAACTCAAAAATTCGGCCCGAAAAAAAAACGACAGTGGTACCCCTTACGTTTTTTTTTTTGGGCGAAAAATTAAGTTTCTCCAATCTTCCCAAAACTCTGGATTCTGATAGAGGGCCATGAGACTTAGACCTGAGTGCAAAAATGGAGGCTCTAGCCCCTTCCAGAGCTGAGATATCGAAACTCAAAAATTCGGCCCGAAAAAAAAACGACAGTGGTACCCCTTACGTTTTTTTTTTTTGGGCGAAAAATTAAGTTTCTCCAATCTTCCCAAAACTCTGGATTCTGATAGAGGGCCATGAGACTTAGACCTGAGTGCAAAAATGGAGGCTCTAGCCCCTTCCAGAGCTGAGATATCGAAACTCAAAAATTCGGCCCGAAAAAAAAACGACAGTGGTACCCCTTACGTTTTTTTTTTTGGGCGAAAAATTAAGTTTCTCCAATCTTCCCAAAACTCTGGATTCTGATAGAGGGCCATGAGACTTAGACCTGAGTGCAAAAATGGAGGCTCTAGCCCCTTCCAGAGCTGAGATATCGAAACTCAAAAATTCGGCCCGAAAAAAAAACGACAGTGGTACCCCTTACGTTTTTTTTTTTTGGGCGAAAAATTAAGTTTCTCCAATCTTCCCAAAACTCTGGATTCTGATAGAGGGCCATGAGACTTAGACCTGAGTGCAAAAATGGAGGCTCTAGCCCCTTCCAGAGCTGAGATATCGAAACTCAAAAATTCGGCCCGAAAAAAAAACGACAGTGGTACCCCTTACGTTTTTTTTTTTGGGCGAAAAATTAAGTTTCTCCAATCTTCCCAAAACTCTGGATTCTGATAGAGGGCCATGAGACTTAGACCTGAGTGCAAAAATGGAGGCTCTAGCCCCTTCCAGAGCTGAGATATCGAAACTCAAAAATTCGGCCCGAAAAAAAAACGACAGTGGTACCCCTTACGTTTTTTTTTTTGGGCGAAAAATTAAGTTTCTCCAATCTTCCCAAAACTCTGGATTCTGATAGAGGGCCATGAGACTTAGACCTGAGTGCAAAAATGGAGGCTCTAGCCCCTTCCAGAGCTGAGATATCGAAACTCAAAAATTCGGCCCGAAAAAAAAACGACAGTGGTACCCCTTACGTTTTTTTTTTTTGGGCGAAAAATTAAGTTTCTCCAATCTTCCCAAAACTCTGGATTCTGATAGAGGGCCATGAGACTTAGACCTGAGTGCAAAAATGGAGGCTCTAGCCCCTTCCAGAGCTGAGATATCGAAACTCAAAAATTCGGCCCGAAAAAAAAACGACAGTGGTACCCCTTACGTTTTTTTTTTTGGGCGAAAAATTAAGTTTCTCCAATCTTCCCAAAACTCTGGATTCTGATAGAGGGCCATGAGACTTAGACCTGAGTGCAAAAATGGAGGCTCTAGCCCCTTCCAGAGCTGAGATATCGAAACTCAAAAATTCGGCCCGAAAAAAAAACGACAGTGGTACCCCTTACGTTTTTTTTTTTGGGCGAAAAATTAAGTTTCTCCAATCTTCCCAAAACTCTGGATTCTGATAGAGGGCCATGAGACTTAGACCTGAGTGCAAAAATGGAGGCTCTAGCCCCTTCCAGAGCTGAGATATCGAAACTCAAAAATTCGGCCCGAAAAAAAAACGACAGTGGTACCCCTTACGTTTTTTTTTTTGGGCGAAAAATTAAGTTTCTCCAATCTTCCCAAAACTCTGGATTCTGATAGAGGGCCATGAGACTTAGACCTGAGTGCAAAAATGGAGGCTCTAGCCCCTTCCAGAGCTGAGATATCGAAACTCAAAAATTCGGCCCGAAAAAAAAACGACAGTGGTACCCCTTACGTTTTTTTTTTTGGGCGAAAAATTAAGTTTCTCCAATCTTCCCAAAACTCTGGATTCTGATAGAGGGCCATGAGACTTAGACCTGAGTGCAAAAATGGAGGCTCTAGCCCCTTCCAGAGCTGAGATATCGAAACTCAAAAATTCGGCCCGAAAAAAAAACGACAGTGGTACCCCTTACGTTTTTTTTTTTGGGCGAAAAATTAAGTTTCTCCAATCTTCCCAAAACTCTGGATTCTGATAGAGGGCCATGAGACTTAGACCTGAGTGCAAAAATGGAGGCTCTAGCCCCTTCCAGAGCTGAGATATCGAAACTCAAAAATTCGGCCCGAAAAAAAAACGACAGTGGTACCCCTTACGTTTTTTTTTTTGGGCGAAAAATTAAGTTTCTCCAATCTTCCCAAAACTCTGGATTCTGATAGAGGGCCATGAGACTTAGACCTGAGTGCAAAAATGGAGGCTCTAGCCCCTTCCAGAGCTGAGATATCGAAACTCAAAAATTCGGCCCGAAAAAAAAACGACAGTGGTACCCCTTACGTTTTTTTTTTTGGGCGAAAAATTAAGTTTCTCCAATCTTCCCAAAACTCTGGATTCTGATAGAGGGCCATGAGACTTAGACCTGAGTGCAAAAATGGAGGCTCTAGCCCCTTCCAGAGCTGAGATATCGAAACTCAAAAATTCGGCCCGAAAAAAAAACGACAGTGGTACCCCTTACGTTTTTTTTTTTTGGGCGAAAAATTAAGTTTCTCCAATCTTCCCAAAACTCTGGATTCTGATAGAGGGCCATGAGACTTAGACCTGAGTGCAAAAATGGAGGCTCTAGCCCCTTCCAGAGCTGAGATATCGAAACTCAAAAATTCGGCCCGAAAAAAAAACGACAGTGGTACCCCTTACGTTTTTTTTTTTTGGGCGAAAAATTAAGTTTCTCCAATCTTCCCAAAACTCTGGATTCTGATAGAGGGCCATGAGACTTAGACCTGAGTGCAAAAATGGAGGCTCTAGCCCCTTCCAGAGCTGAGATATCGAAACTCAAAAATTCGGCCCGAAAAAAAAACGACAGTGGTACCCCTTACGTTTTTTTTTTTGGGCGAAAAATTAAGTTTCTCCAATCTTCCCAAAACTCTGGATTCTGATAGAGGGCCATGAGACTTAGACCTGAGTGCAAAAATGGAGGCTCTAGACCCTTCCAGAGCTGAGATATTGAGATACCACGTAGCATTTATTCCATTATAAATATCTCAATATCTCAGCTCTGGAAGGATCTAGAGCCTCCATTTTTGCACTCAGGTCTAAGTCTCATGGCCCTCTATCAGAATACAGAGTTTCAAGAAGATTGGAGAAACTTATTTTTTCGCACAAAAAAAAAACAAAAAACGACTGGGGTAACACTGTCGTTTTTTTTTTTTTTTTTTTTTTGGTCGAAATTTTGAGTTTCTCTTTTCTTCTTGAAACTCTGGATTCTGATAGAGGGTCATGGGACTTAGACCTAAGTGCAAAAATGGAGGCTCTATGGAAACCAAGCGTCACTGGTGAGTTGAGTTTGACCTCTTAAACCTCCATTCAGGAACACAATTTGGACTGGTTTCCTCGTATGAGGGCCATGTCTCTGGTCAGCAGTGATGGAGAAGGTGAGCAGAATGAACTACGCAGTCTACAGGAGAAACTGGAGTCCACAATGAGGTTGGTCTCCAACCTGACCAATCAGCTCACAGAGCTCAAAGAGCAGGTGAGTGTGCGACTTGTTTAATAATGGTATACGAATACAAACTATACATTCTTAGAAAGTTTTTTTTTTTTATAAAAACAAAAAGCCTGTACTACACCTAAATTGTATAAGTTGTCAACTTATGGTGTGATATGTGTATATCTAACTTAATTGTTTTCTTTGAACTCATCCTTGTGTGTCAATCTTAAGATGACTGAGCAGAGGAAACACAAGCAACGGATTGGTCTGCTGGGAAACCCCGCCCACCTAAATATCAACCCACAGCAGCCGGCATGAGAGACGTGGTCTGAGGTCTGACTGACATGATGGAAGCAAGACAAGCATATATGTGCTCATAGTGTCACTACCTTAAAAGCATGTTATATTCTCTTAGTATGGACTCTAACATGGTCATAAAGTTATACTTGGATCTGTACAATCAAAGGACTTGAATCATGATATTTTGGCCCCCATTGCTGTATGATGTGGTATATTCATATTTTAAGCACTGACATGATCACAAGAATCTTTGCACTGTGTATAAGTATAGTATTATAGGATGCTTTCACAGAGTGGTTCTCAGAATTATGTCCCTCTGGTTTTCTTCGCACCTTTTTACCAAAATGGATTCAGTTTGTCATTAATGTGTGAAAGTTTTGTATATTTTATATATTTATTTTGATATTTCTCTTTTCGAATTTCAATTACTGTGATTGGTTGGCACTGATTAAAATCTGTTTAGACTGATTAAAATCTGTTTAGACAAGTTTCTAGTAAGTAACATGTAACAATGATTGAGACTTGATACCTTACTCCTTTGGACTTTAAAGGTTGGGTTCACTTTATAGGAACATGTCTGCTATGAAGATGCAAAAATAAGTAAATTCAGTAGAACTTGGAGACAATATTACATGACAGAATGATTTAATGAAAAAATGTGACATTGTGCATCAAATTTGAGAACCATGAGCTTCAAGCACATTAGCATATTCAGCCCTACTGATCACAGCGACCTGCAGGACAGAATACGTCACAGATTCACAGAGCTCTTCACATTTAGTTCTCAGAGGTGCTCTTCAAATAATAGTTGAAAAAGAAATAATCCTAGTAATAAGCATGACAGTAATTGAGATGAACACTTTAATCACTTAATCTCCTTAAACACTAGACTGTAAAGTAAAGTAAAAAAAAAAAAAAATTAAAGCACAAATCAATTTCAAATATATAGTTGAGATTTAAGAAATAGTTTTGTCAAAAATAGTCAAAGAAAATAAGTATGCTTAATGTGCAAAAATAAAATAGAAATATCACCCACCTATTGTGACAAGACTTAAAATGTAAACATTATATTTTGTTCCTGCAGGAAATGTAACCGAGGTAAGATGTTTGAAAATTCTTGCTACATTTTGAGCATTTTTAAAACGCTCGCATCACAAATCTGAAAGGAGCTGAAACATCCCGGTGGTTAACACTGTACAAAGTAAAGTCCATGTGTGTTGATAAATCTGCAGTCATTTGTTTTAAACAAAGTTAGTATTCTATTTTTATGAATTGCATTTAGTGTTAAATGAAAGCCAAATTACTTAATTGACACTCCAGTGTGTGAATGACTGAGATGTAAAGTATTGCTTAAAGAAATGTGAAGCCAGAACCCAAATCAAAAAACAAAAGCAGTAAACAGTCATTATGTGAAGACACACACCTGCACTGATCATTTAGTCCCACATAACACAAAGCGTTCTAGCAAAAATCTTAAGTAGAAATGTATAGAAACAATACTTGCATCTCATTCAAATCTGTTCTGAACCAGTCTCGAATGCAAGCAGACCTACACACGTGAACGCACACTCACACCCCAACACTAGGGTTAATAAATCAATAACTGGATTCCAGTCACCTATGTGGCAATTGAGAAAAGAGAAAATACAAATGTAAAGGCCTAAAGTTGCTCATCTTCAGGACTCAGAACTGATTTTCCCCCACTGTTCAAACACAAAGAAACCAATAAGAGGAGTCACATAAAAAGGATGGAAGAGCATGATGGAGTGTTGCTGATGAACAGGATGTGATGTCACAGGTCAATAGTGGGCCGGAACAGTGAGAAGAGCCTCTTCTGCCAGACGGGAGATGTCCACATTCTGTCACCGTCAAAAAAGGATTTTTATTTTGGGTTCAAAAACGAACAGAAATAATATTTATACATGTAAAATGACTGTCTGGTTTCCTTACCTCAGGTTTGTCTCTGTGAGTGTTCACTGCTTCTACATTAAGATAGATTGACTCCACTTTACAGCCTAGTGCAGGAGAGAATCTAGGTTACATTAAAGTACATTTCAAGAGGTCATGTTTCCAGGTAATTAAATGAACCCTTCAACAAATAAGACACCAGGGAGAAATGCTCCCTCAGGGATTCTGCAAATTTCTCAACGCGTCTTTAAACTGGTTTCATCAATCACAGCCGTAAAATACTTCATTTAAACTACTCTACTTAAACTACTTAAGGTTGGCTTTACACGTTCTGTTAGTTTTTGCTGTCAGTGCCTCTCATGGAGTCAAGGTCGTCTTAAACGCACAATAAGCCCATTCATTAAACTATTACACTGCTTCAGAAGAATAGAAATTAAGAAAATCTTTGTCTGAAAACATTTCTCGCTACGGTTTATATTTTGTGTGCCCAGAATGAAACATTTTTAGTTTCTCTGATCTTCTTGAAACTCTGGATTCTGATAGAGGGCCATGAGACTTAGACCTGAGTGCAAAAATGGAGGCTCTAGACCCTTCCAGAGCTGAGATATTGAGATACCACGTAGCATTTATTCCATTATAAATATCTCAATATCTCAGCTCTGGAAGGATCTAGAGCCTCCATTTTTGCACTCAGGTCTAAGTCTCATGGCCCTCTATCAGAATCCAGAGTTTCAAGAAGATTGGAGAAACTTATTTTTTCGCACAAAAAAAAAAACGACAGGGGTAACACTGTTTTAACACCGTTTTTTAAACTGAACTACTCCTTTAAGATCATAACCAATCTCAAATTTCCTTTTTGGGTAAATATACAATAACACAATGTTCACATGCACAGCGAATGTCTGTGTGAGAGAGGTGAGTTTCTCACCATAAGCCACAGGAGTAAGCTTCAGGACTGTGTGTAGAGGACATTTCAAATACGGAAGCTCTTCTAGAAGGTAAATAAAAACGGTTAAAGATCATGACGATATGAAAATATTTCCTTGACCACATGTTCCCATCTACACACCTGCACTCTTGTCCAAGAAGTAGGCAAGTAGACAACGCATGACAGCCTGATGACAAATAACCAACACATTCTCCTGACGTTCAAGCTCCATAATGACGGGCTCCAATCTCTGGACCAGATCCTCATAAGACTGTAAAGAGAGAGAATGTTACATTTTCTCAGATTTAATTAGGATTTATTTCGGATTGTAAAGCTAGCTCTTCAACACACCTCTCCTTTAGGATAGCGGTACCGATATTTGTCCTGGTCTCTGAGAGCGAACTCCAGAGGGATATTTTCCTGGATCTCCTCATACATCATCTCCTCACATACACCCTGCACACACGCTGAAAGTCACTGATTTGGTACTTTTTCAAATGTGATGACAAAGAAAACATCATCGTATAACACTCACAGCATCAATCTCATTGAGCGCTTTCCATTGTTCGTACGGTACACCCAGCGCTTCAGCGGTCTGAATGGTCCGCTTCATCTGACTCGTCCACACTTTGAGATCCTTTATATTCTGATCCTGAATAAACTTCCCTAGACTCTGAGCAAACTGATACATACAAGAGACAGGAGGAGAGATGGTGAATCCAAATGACCAATCTAGTAGACATTCTTTCACAGACGCATATACCATAGCGCACCTCTTTACCACGGGGCGACAGGCCTGAATCCCCTCCGATGCGACCTTTGACGTTAAGGTCACTCTCTCCATGACGACAGAGGTAGATGGAGCGTGGCGTGATGTGGATGTTCATCAGATAATAAACGATTCTGCTCTGAATGTGGTCGAGCACGCGGTTCACCAAATACCGCTGACCCACGTTCATTATTTTAATGTATGACAACTCTCTGTAAAAAAACCCCAATATTTAAGAAACTGAACACAAACCGCATAAATAAAAAATGTTCTCAGAAAGAGGGAACCAATGAAATTGGATTTCTGACCTGTCTAGGTTTTCATCCAGTGGCTGGTAACTGTTTTCATAGCATTTGATCCTCTTCATAAAGTCCTGGATGGCTTCTTCAGTGTTACGGTCAGTGTAGTCAGGACTTCCCAACTTTACTTGCTGTTCTCAAACACACAAAAAGAAGAGAAATGAATGCTGAGATAATTTGATAAAAAAAACTACTAATGTATTGAGGACAAATGCTGGAGATTATAAAATATAAAATCATCCAATCACTGATTAAAAATCACAGGAATTTTACAACTTTGAATCATTTGTCAGTATTTAATCACTGCCTTACCACAATGTTCTCTGCAATAACTTTGGGGTCTTCACACAAAGACTCAACAAAAAACACCTACGTAAAAAACAGAGATTTGAATATGAGTACTAGTGAGTAGCCTTCTATAAAGTAATGCCAAAGGTTTACACATTTCAAATGACTGCGCAACATGGTGTTTTACCTTATATCCATTTTGTTCTGCAAATCTCATGATGGTGGCCCTCCGTTCCCTGGTTGTGTTCGTAGCATCAAACACCTGAAAAAAAAATCAACACACTTATAAATAAAAACTTTTATTCTCACCAAGGCTGCATTTATTTGATCAAACCCCATAATAATCATAATACTTTAAAAGTAGGTAATTTATTCCTGTGATGAAATCCTTCAGAAATCATACTATGCAAATTTGCTGCTATCAATGTTGATCAAACATTATCAATGTTGTAATACAGATTGATTATTAGAAACAGCATTTATTTGAAATAGAAATCTTAACATTATAGCTTTTTATTTACCGGAATGTGTCCTTGCTGAATAAAATGTATTAATTTCTTAAAAAAAAAATAATAATCTACTCACAGCAACATGGCCACCCTCAACACTGAGATACTGTCTGACATCATTGAGTGCTGTCGACGCACATTGCCTGAAAAAAAAAAAAAGTAAAATAATGACTACACAAAATGCAGAACAACAGCAAAAATATTAAAAAAAAACAAGCATCCACAAACAAATAAAACATGCTGCATCTTACTTCCTTATCTTCAGTCCTTCCTCATTATCAGGACGAAAGAATTCAAAGCTCTTGTAGATTTTCACACATTCCCTCCTATACTGTCCCACATTGAATTCTGCAACAAAAAAGTTGTAGCAGTAATGTTTCATTTTTCATAAGTATGTGAGTATTGTGCATCATTACCGTACCTTTTGTTGGTACACCAATCCAGTTGAGGTAGCGTGTGAGTTTTTTAGAGATGTAGGTTTTTCCTCTTGCTGGCAAGCCCACCGTCACAATGAGAGTAGGACAGTTGGTCATACAAACTGCCAAGAGACAGAGAACGAGAATACAATGCATCTGTAAATATCAACTGTTCTCTGTACAGCAGAATGGAGAGTGAATTCTGTCTTTGCTTCATTTTCAGTTAGTGTAAAAAAATCTGACAGAGCTAACCATTCATACAGAGACTATTGTTGGTCAGGGTAACAGACGTGAAGCATTCAGATTATTGAGAAATAGTCTTTGGAAATATTGGTTTCACTGCCTTCATACTTTTTTCCTTGACCAAATTCAACATGCCAAATTATTTCTGCAGAATTAGATCAATTTATGGCCTGGACTAAATCTTTTGATTTATACAATGTCACAAACTCAAATTCTACCTCTTTTTTAATTCATTTGCTTCAATCCTTCTGATACTTATTTGACTTATATGTTTTTTTAAATTACTGAACTTAAATTTCCTTAAAACTCATGGTTATCAAGCTCCTCTCAATATATGCCGATTTCTCCTGAATCCTCAAAAACTGAGAGATCATGTGCTCGGTGTACTTTATTTTCTGCTGACTTGTTAAATAGGAAACATACTGAGACAGTTGAGCATCAGATTGTGCTGCATGTACAGCTTATTCAACCAGGTTCATGGAGTTCAAAACAAATCTGTTAATTAAATGAAAATCAGCATATAATTAAAGTAAAACCACACAAGGGAAAAACGTCTTTATAAGCAGCCTTCGCTCAGCAAACCTACTCTTTAAAAGGCTATAAACTTCAACCGCTGCACTGTTACTTTTTGCACATTTAAACGCAACAGGCCCCAAGGAATTTAAAGGACATCCCTAAAAGTCAAACACAATCCTGATTTCCCACCCACAGCCACACTGGGCAAGACAGCAGGAGACCAGAAAACACACTTTCCACTATAAAATCATTCCAAAAATACTTCCAAAAGGATCATGATCAAAGCCACACATTGCTGAGATTGCTTTGATTAGAAACCAAGAGTGGTGGAATCTTAAATATTACTAAATATACAATCGCATCCCAGTAGCCAGATCATCATGAGTACCATGATGATAGTTGACCAAACTCAGGGTTACAGGTTTAGTTTCGAGTTGACAAAACCAAACCAATCCAACCAGGCTTTGTTAGTACCATGGTGCTGATCATCAACTTTCTCGGTCAACTCAGGCTTGATCGGATGCTGAGAAAGAGTGAAACTGCGATTTATTTCTCGTGAGAGAAGCAGCGCAATTCACTTATCTCTTCTGTTGTCACTTATCTTATCTCACCCTCATGTTGTTGCAAACCTCTATGTGTTTATTTGTTCTGCTGAACACAAAGGAAGACATTTGGAAGAATGTTTTAATCGAACAGATCTCATTCCCCATTGACTACCATAGTATGTATTTTTTCCTACTATGGTAGTCAATGGGGAATGAGATCTATTTGATTAAAACATTCTTCCAAATATCTTCCTTTGTGTTCAACAGAACAAATAAACACATGGAACAACATGAGGATGAGTAAAAATCATTTGCTATGATGTAACCTTTAGGTGGAGTCACGTTAGTGGAGTGACTTTATCGCATCAGACACATCACTTTGCTCACAGATTGGTCCAAGTTCAGTTTGCAACGTCTTGACCAGGTAAGCCGTGGAGCGTTAGTTACTATGGCGATGAACACTGCTAAAGGCCAAACAACTTTCATGGTGTCTAAAACCCAGCGTTGGCGCAAACTAAAATGTAACATATTTGGCTTGCCACCTAAACCGGCTTAATTCACGGTATAGGCCCCCACTGCTGTTCCGTGTTCACACTCTGCACACATGGGCCGCGAATGTTGATACACCATTGACCAATCAGAGACAGTCTACAGTCAGAGTTCAGCCAATAGAAAACCAGCAACGCAAAACAATGCACGCGGCCATTGTACCGGTCCGGTGCTAAAAACATGCCCGCGTTGTGTTTGTATCTCACAGTACAGGATATTCAGCTGATGATGCCGAGTTGATACTGATATATTCAGTAAATAAGCAAACAGAGGGAGGGGCTGCGGTGCGGGGCTGATAGTGATACAGCACTTTAGACTTGTGATGCTTGGACATGTTATTAAACACCCAGGGTTTACGAGACACCGGGAAGAAAATACTGTAGTAGCTAATTATATAGTACTTAGACTGGAGCTTTAAGATAACTTATTGTACTTTATCTAACGTTAACCGGTAGATTTTGGTGCATCCTGATTGCATAATTCCCGTCTTATTGCGCCTACTAATGTATCACTGGGTTTACTTACAGTAAGGTGCTTCATATTTAAATGCAAGGCTTAAATGCAAATGCAATGCAACTGGAATACTATTCGAACAAAATAACTGGTAATTCAATCAAGGAGATAAACAACCACATGTTTTGAGAATTTTTCTAAATACAGAACATGCACCATTACTTCCGCACCAGTAGTATTTTATTACTTAATTCCAGATGGTAACTTGAACATATTCCCACATATTTCCCCAAAACCTAAAATATACATCACATGAGCCCTGCATGGGTAACGTTACTTAAATCAAACGTAAAACAGATGCGCGTATAAGCATGCAAGTATCGTTAATTTAGCGGGAATTTGGAAAAAAAAGCTGGTATTTGTCGAAAGCTAACACATACCTTTCTTTTGAAAAATGTGTTTTTCCGGCAACCCGTTCTTGCATGGCATCCATATTTTCCGCAGTGGGTTTTGTGTAAGCTCTCTGGGAATCGCCATGATAATATCTTCATTAGAACTCATCCTGGCTGTACGTGTTATCATGACCAGTTCTTCCGATTCTTCCCACTGATCGCTGTATACCGAGCGGACTGAGGCTGAGCTGCTCACTGTGGGCTCTGGGCTGTGTAACATGTCATATCGGCTGAGCGTTATCAATGACAGACTTTACCGTAATACCAACAAAAAACGCGCAATGCAACAAAAAAGTTTCATAATCAGGCAGACTGGAATCATAAACACACAGTCACTACTTTTGGATTAAAAGGAGATCAATGTACGTTTCATCTGATTTTAGAAAAAGTATGAGTTAAAAAAATTAGACGAATAACTTGTAAGACTTGTATTTCATACAACTGGCCAATAATATGAATTAAACGGATTATTCTAAATTGAATACTCAATCGTTTGTTATAAGAACGATAAAAGTCCCCTGACAATTTAACATGATTACTAACATGATTTTTATTTTCGCTGAATAGCGATTCATTGCACGCAAAAAAATAAATAAATAAAATTCAAAAGTTACTAAACTCTACCGTAAACCCACTCAATGATGTGGCCAAACAAACAAAAAAAAGGAAAACTGCGTAGGAAGGTAAACAAGAAGTAACCTAAAAGTGATCGCAGAAGTTTGGTGGAAAACAGCTCTGCTGCTGTTCACATGAATTGCTCATGGGTCGTGAATGGTGATGTGTCTTTGTCCAATCAAAGCCCCTCGACAGAAATGAGTCGACCAATAGAAATTTTAAAAACACTGCACGAGGAGGCGTGCGGCATGAGTGCAGTATAGTAGGTAAATATTTACAAAACTTGAACATTCTGTTCTCTTCTCTTTCGCCACCAAATCCGTGAAATAATACTACTGAGAACTTTGCCCCAATATGTACGCAGAAAGTACAGGAGCATCGTTGGAAGCAGACATATGGTGGACAGTAATGTTTTACGGTCTTTCCTGCTGAAAGAAACAGCAAAAGTGAACCTAAACTGGTTAGCTGGTGTTTCAGCCTGGGGTCAACATAGCCATAATGTTAAAACATTGTCTTAAGAACTAGTATGTTCAGCTAGCAGTTAGTTAGGGGTAATCAGTCTTACTGTTCGGTATCAAATAAGACCAATATACATTTTTATGTAACTTTAAAAGTGTATGAATAGTCTCAAAGAAAAAAATTGGACAACTAACTTTGTAAGACTAGACTCTTTAAACTTGGAGTTTATCATAAACTGCTTAACCTGCTGTGACCAGGGGCGTTGCATTATGCAACTCGCCCCTGGTCACAGCAGGTTGCAGCTGGTTTTAGAGGGGAATAAGAATAAGAGCACCTTCCTCTCTTTAAAAGCTGTTTTGTGTGAATAGTTTTGAGAAATGGTGAAGCATCAAGTACAGAAACTGATTTTAGACCATCATAAGCAAAATAAATGTTTATGTTATCATAATACATAAACTAAATAAGTTTGTATAGGTTTACTAAAAATAATCATACACATATACATACTGTAATATTAGCTATGTGCATAATAATTTATAATAATACAATTAAATTAGCAAATGTAGCTACACTTCCAGTCAAGTCAAATAGGCTAATAGCCTAGTAAGTCATCAATATAATGTAACAACACAAATCAGAGTATCTTTACTGACCAAAAAAGGTTAAACAACTATCTTATTTTAGCCAGCCAATCAACCAGCTTTTGCTTTTTAAACATTTCCATGTGTGATGGTCATTTGTTGGTTGCTTTTCCTTTATGATCCAGTCCAACTCATCCATTAAAAAATTGTTTCAACCATTTTAGTATAAGCCTGTACATCTAAAGGCCAGATGTGTCTAAACTTAGACCAGTAGTCTATTGCAGGCGCTTCAGAGGGATTTCCTAAGGAAAATGGTTCAACAAAACAGAAGGATAATAGGGCCATCTTGTGGTTGAATGTTGAATCACACAAGCGTGTAAAAGATGTAGGCGTGAATTCAAGATTTTTCTAAAATATATACAGGCTATAATTTGTCTTATTTTTTCTTTAAAAAATGGTTAGCAATGTTTATTTTTTTAACTAGATGGAAAAACACAAAACATGATGAAGAAAAAAAGGGAGGGGAAAAAGGGTGAATGTCCAGTCAGCGGGTCAAGAGAACTAATCTTCTTAGACCGGTGGACAACAGCAGGCAGCTCAGGTGCTGAGACACTCATATATTTTCCACCTGAGATCTGTGTGTGGTTATCAAAGACAATTTTTTAGAATTAAGTAGGCATTAGGTCCACAGAAAGATGAAAAAGATTAAGACATAGTTTTGTAAAATAATATTTAGATTATTATAGAATAATGATGTGTATAAAATGTTTTACGCCATGCATTATAGACACAGTGAACAGCACAATTTCACCATCCAGTCAGCTTTTTTTTAAAAAGACATCACTATCAAATTCTCAAGTTTGAGAAAATGTTTCCTTAAAATTGTAAATATTCCACCCTGTTAATTTAGATTTTTTTTAAACGAGCATTGTGCTTTGTTTTTCAAAAATAGTCTTTCCCTTTCCTCTAGATGTCAACCGCCCACAGGAGCCAGTGACATCAGAGCCTTTTAAACTTAGAAACAGATGAGAGGATTGTGTGTAAGGGAATGGGCTGAAACTGCATTAGGTATGCAGCTAGTGATTCAGCAGACTTTACACATATAACATACAAATTCAAAAGACATGCGAAAAAGACACATACACAAACGCAGACACAAAACCCAAGTTAGACCTGAATCCTTAAATGGGATTGGAGGAATAGAGCTGAACTTTCACACAGATAACCAGAAAGGGAGAGGGAGCAAGACAAAGGTGGAGAGTGTGCCACACATGAGCAAGAATAAACAACTTAAGGAGGAGGAAAATGGGAAAGCACAGAAGGAGGAACAACTCTCTGTGGATATAGAGCACAAGAAAAGTACAGAAGTAAAAAGAGAGCAGATTGGAAGTACATATCTCAGGAAAGAAAAGATAAACAAAAAAAGGATGATCACAAGAGTCACAAACCACATAAGATTTATTGGCTCTACACAAAGGCCTGAAATATTTTGCTGGGTGTAATCCACCCATCAGGACTCACTGCTGCCGAAAACCCCTGTCCATCCCTTTATCTTACGTAAACCAGCTCACTAAAACACATTATATTGGATATAGCTAACAATTGCACAGTACAAAGATCTGTATCATGGTTATATTGGGTGATAGTTGCAATTCTGACAAAGCTAAGGAGGCACATACCATACATTTTGATATAAGAACGGGACACACACACACTTCTCCTCATCATGCTAATATACTCTGACCGATTTATCTTGCATATGCATGCCAGCTTAGTAACACTCAGCGTGTGTGCCTTTTTACAAATTCTTATTTAACCCATGCTGCTTATAGGCTATAGCCTACATAAACTCTTTATAAAACACTACATGTGTAGATCATCCAATAATTTTTTGGATTTCTCGTTTTTTTCTCGATAAGTTATTATTAAGTTTGTTTACTAACCATTAGAAGTCTTCCCCCATGCATTATTTACAACATATCAAAGTAGATAGATAGATAGATAGATAGATAGATAGATAGATAGATAGATAGATAGATAGATAGATAGATAGATAGATAGATAGATAGATAGATAGATAGATAGATAGATAGATAGATAGATAGATAGATAGATAGATAGATAGATAGATGCTGGTCTAGGTTGCAGAGATAGATAGATCGATGCTGGTCTAGGTTGCAGGGAAGATACCGTGTCTTACCTGTCCTTTCGCGGTTTTGTCCATCTCGGATGCGGCTAGAATTCTTCATCGTTCAGGTTATAAAGAGCAGCGGGCGGCTAACGTCTTCAGGCACTGGCTTTTGTGGAAGAGCTTTTGATTGTCCCCGTTGTTTCGCGGAAACATTGCTTAGAAGCGCACCGGTACAGGATTTGTGTGCGGGTTTAGATAACACAGGCGTCTTAAAACAGCCACATGGGAGTAGGCTAACGTTACTAGACAGAGAAACAGATTGAGGGCATGTAACGCCTATAACTCTCAGTCACCCTCATTATGTAATTTCAGATGAGTTGCTTTACAATAGATTAATTAAAATGTACTGGCCTGCAGATAATGGAGAAATTCAGTGCAACATGTTTCTCTCTATAGTACACCTAGTCCACTTACAGAAACTGAACTGTACACTGTTCATCTTTTAAATTCATTTGCAGTAATGCACACGTCCAGTGGGTCAACTTAAAATCAAGAACCCAAGGGCAAAATGTGATAAGAATGCTGCCATTTATCAAACAGTGAGTGACGAAATCTCAAAGCTGATAATTTATCAGTCACTTTCACAGAACATTATAGGCCTACAGTCATTTTGTGCTGTCATTGTCTTGTCATCATAGCTCTAACAAAACTTAATTATTCATTCTACTTTGTCTACGTAAATGAAGTAAAGTCATGATAAAGAGTATCCAAAAGTATTTGGATAGTTAAGCTACACCTAAAAATGTATGAATGTCACTCATTATGTCATATTTACTCCTGTCGCTCCAAACCTGCATGACTTCTATGAAACACAAAATATATTTTGAAGAATATTGAAGTGGGAACCAAACAACATTAGCCCACTGAATGAAAAAAAAAAAAACTGACATTCCCTAAAATATCTTTTTAATGTTCTCAGAATAAAGTCATACGGTTTTGGAACGGTGCATGGGTGGAGTATCCCTTTACAGCATATAACACAAGTACAAATTTCAAGCAAATCATTTCACAAAAATGAATTCATTGAGGTTTTAAATTAAAAAACAAGAGTAAGACTAAGTATTTAGACACTTTGTGGTGCTCTTTAGTATAGAAACTATTCGGGGCCACTGTTATGTTTTTATTAGATTTGACTACTACACTGCATCATTTTCATAAAAAAAGAACCACACTGTGGTGCAGAGATTATATATCATATAAAGATATATATTCAATGTGTAAGTGTCCGGAGGGAATAGTGGGATACCATGACCATGTCCTTCTTTTACTGTGTCATAATGTCCCTTATGATGGACAGGATGGTGGTTTTAAAGGTAATCATCATAGCCAGATTCATCCTTGATGCCAGCTGTAAAATAGAAACATGTCTGCCATATAGTAGTCTTTTTAAACTGAGTCAAACAAATTAGATTTAGACAGAGGAGTTACCATTATAATGAAACGTTTGCTTCATTCTAGCTGAGGAGTGATCTTTAACCTACAACAAACACATTTTGATATAAAAATGATATGAAACGGGTATTTACATACATTTGGGTATTTCATACAGTATATGAGCATACTTACAGCTGAACTAAGAGGGGCTGTGGGAGCCTGGTACGATGGAGGGGGTGGAACCCCTGATGGAACAGCAAGGGTGGAGTCAAAGTGTTGCATGCTAGAACTGCGATTCAACTTGAGCATGGCTGCCCTGGCGTGAAGGGGAAGAGGTGGGAGGGGCCCTTTCCTCTGGGCGAGCGAGATCGACTCTTCGTTATTGCTGGAGAGAGTCTGCGATGATGAGTTATTTATTTGGCTGGACTTGCTCTCTGGAAATGTTGCATCTAAATCAAGATGGTGTTGAACTCTGGATGCACTTCTGAGAGAAAGACTATATGACCAGAGAATCAGAACCCAAATATTCTACACTGAAAAACAATGAACGATTTACTTTGAAACAATTCTCAGAACTAGCTAGTAAATTTCACAATTACAAACAAACAGTAAGTAACATAATTTCTCGTAAAACATATTCCACTAATCTTTTGTCTAAACGTTGAAAATGTCATGTTCTCTTACGAGAGGTTCTCTTGCATTGCATAAGTTTAGTATCTATTGTCAACGCAGTGCAGCAGCTAGCAGACCTAGAGCAGGCTGTCTAGCGTGCTCATTGGCTGTCCTGCGGCAAATGCAGCAGCCTACCAGAGAGCCCGACGTGATGTCGCGTTCAATGAAGGGCGCTCGCGCCCTCAACGTGTCCTAGCCCACAAGAATGCGCATGGCTTAGCGTATATAAGCGGGGCTCGAAGGCTGAATCTCTGATTTTCATTTTCATCCGGATCGCTGGATCTGCTAGCCGCTGCACTGCGTTGACAATAGATACAAAATAGGATAATTTTTGGCTTCAATATCTCGAGAAGATGAATCTTTCCCGTAGCGTAAGCTAAACTTACGCAATACTTGTTCCCTCATCTAGAGAGAACCGACTCGAGGTTACATTAGGTAACCGATTCGTTTTACAGTGTATATAATGTAGATTTCAGCGCAGAGTCCAAGGTGTCCTGTCTGTGTCTGTTTTGTTTCTCACCTCTTTTGCACTTCATGTCCTCTAAGACAATTGTTAAGCTTGTCTTTCCAATCAGAATTAGCCCCCACACTGTATCTGCGTGTAAGTACCGATTGAGATGCTGGAGAGGAGAGAAACAGGTGTAATGGGGCTTGGATAAACATTATTCCTTATTTGATGTGATTTGTGAGGAGTGTTCAGAGGGTCAGACCTTTGTTGTCACTGATCTGCTTCTGCATAGCAATGTAGAACTGCTTGGCCTCACCTTCATCCGCAAAGTTTATTCCTATCTGACACTCCTGCATGAACACACACACGTTTGGTTTCCATCATGATGAAGACTTTCCATTGACTTCTTGTTCAGCTAACAATATTTAAAAAACCCTAAGTCCTAAACCTGAATGTTACACAAATCTTTTAACATTTTTAAGGCATTTAGTTTGCTTGGTTGGTATCCATAATGTAGTAAAAAACTGATGCATATAAACACGCTTACTCTACAGAATCTAGAGTATAATGCATTTGTCACTCACATCACCAGGAAAGGTGTGGAAATAAGGACAAGTTTCTGAGTACTCAAATGGTGTATACAGCTCCTGTTCCCATTGCAGCTTAGCCTTTTGCTAATAGAAAGAGAAAAAACTGTCACACAGAACCTGAGATATGAGGTGGTACCAAAAAAGTAGTAGCATCCCAATAAGAACTGTCCTAAACATCCAATGTAGAATCATTGCACAATGGATTGAAATGGAAATAGGGCAGACAATCAATAAAGATTAAAGGGGTGCTGAATTAATTTTTTTTGTTCAGCAGAAGGGCAAAATGTACATTTTTGGGTGAACTATCCCTTTAATTTAAGAATTTATTGAAATGATTTCAACTGTTGATTCCTATAATTTTTTTAGAAGGAATTATTTTACCATTTGAGATAAACACACTGAGTGGGCAAGCGCTCTCTGTAATATCTGTCAGCCTCACCTTAAGACAGTAGAGTCTCATGAATGTTGAATGAATGAAGGTATCTTGCACCAGACATAAAACTCCAAAACTGTGACTTTTCCACTCCCTTTTCTCTGCAATTACCAGCTGGACAATACCACATGCTAAAACCTGTAATGTACACAAAGAAACACAAATACAGTGTTTAGCATAAGTGAACACACATTATAAAGTTGACTACCTAGTTGAGGAACCTTTAAGGACACCATTTTTTGTGTGTGAATGAATAATGTATCATATAAATAAATAAATGCAGTGAGCATAAGTCAGGACCCCCTGTGATAAATTCCCATAGAGGCAGGCAGATTTTTTTTAAAAGGTCAGTTATTTCATGGATCCAGGATACTATGCATCCTGATAAAGTTCCCCTGCCTTTGGAATTAAAATAGCCCCACATCATCAGATACACTTCACCACACCTAGAGATTGGCATGGTTTTATTTCAGTTAGCCTAATAGCTGGTTTGATCTGGTTTTGATCTGCATTGAGAGAAGATATTATGGAAATTACCCCATGCCAATCTCTAGGTATAATGAAGGTTATGTGACGATGTGGAGCTGTTTTAATTCCAAAGGCCAGGGGAACTTTATCAGGATGCATATCAGCGGTGTAGTTGTGCCATGTCTTTTTGTCTGTACAAATACGCAGTTTGGTCGAAATATGCTGTTTGCATAAGTTTGCATAGTTGAAAAACAATTTTATGAGGCCGCCCTGGCTTCTACGGCTCTACTTGTGAATTATTAAAATAACCATCATGTGTTCTTTCAACTAACTGGAAAAACCAGTGATCAGTTAGGATCAGGATGTGTAAGGTCTGCAGTAAAACATTATGAGCATTGCATAAAAGTTCCAGAAAAAGTGAAACAAATGCATGAAAAGAGCTAAAAAAAAATAACCAAGTGTTTTGATATCCCACTGGGTACTGTGGAGTTGGAATTAGACCCTTTAGAAAAAGAAACACTCACTTGAAAACATATACAACACACAGTAATGTGGGATGCAATACAGACCTGAAACTGTTTGTTATATATTCTGAATCTCACCAAATTATGTCATAGAATTACATTTTAAACAACACACACACACACAATAGGCTAACAGTGAATTATGGGAATGGAATAAAAGCAATTCCTGCACAATGTATGGGTTCTTTTAGCAATATGATATTTTGATCAATTGATGTATAACAAAAAAAGTGAACTTACACTGCAATCATAACTAAGTAAACTGCAGAGAAGGCCATTCTCTCGAGTCGACAGGAGCGGACTCAAAATCCGTGACATCTCTTCGTTTTTGACGTCTGTCTTCTACTGTGTGCCGTTTGTGTTTTCTAAATTCACAGCTATCCTGATCCATATCAAACAAATCAATCTGCATCATACTTCCTAATGCAAATATCCTGACATAAGGAAAAACAACAGAGCTCTATTCACAAAACACTCACACACACAAGTTATTTGTATGTTCACAATTCATTCTATACATAAAAAAACAGTATGAAGAGAAGATTTTACATTTTAGTATTTATTAAATCAAAAATGGCTGCGTGAGTCTACTTTGCATACATGTATGAGAATAAGTTGAGTGACAAAATAAAGACTTGTGTGGCTAAAAAGAGCAGCACATCTATTTGAGTTTTTCGGTCGCCATAATGGTAGAAATTAGGAATATTGCAGTACTTTGTATAAACGATTTATTTTGTTGCAACTTCCGTTTCATGTCGACTTCATATAGACATTCAATACAGTCAAAAATGTTCTAGAGAGAGTACATCTTGCGAGCTTCTATATCTCCAGAGGTTGAGTATCCTAAATGATTTACGGGCCAGTTTCCGGGACTTGGCGCAACAGTACGTTCAATACGCTGAAATAAAACCTTTGCAGGAGAGTTTGTCACTACAGGCAGAAACAAGCGCACATGATCTTCCTTTCCTGGCCAGAAGGCATTAGGGTCCGCCCAGCAAATTGACTGCTTCTTCCTACAACACATATACAGACATTACTCAATTCAAACACTCTTATTTAAAGCATAGGCCTAGGTAAGATGTTTTAATGTTTTTAAAAGAAGTCTCTTATGCTTATCAAGGCTGTATTTATTTGATAAAAAATACAGTAAAAACAGTAATAAATGTAAAATATTTTTTACAATATAAAATACCTGTTTTCTATTTTTATTTCTTTTTAATTTTAAGATAGCAGCCATTACACCAGTCTTCAGTGTCACATGATCCTTCAGAAATCTGATTGTCTTGTAATTTCTTATTATCAGCAATGCTGAAAACAGTTCAGCTGCTTAATATTTTTATGTGGAAACCATGATATATGTTTTCAGGTTCCTTTGATGAATATGATATATATAAGAATTTTTTTGTCATAGAGAGACTTACATCGCTTTATGGCCCTTTTTTGCTCCACCTTCAACTCGGTGTGTTTTGGATGTCCTGAGTAATGTCAGGACTTGTTCTTGTCCACCACAGCCAGACAAGTGACCTTTTCCTCCCAATTTGGAGCTGCTAGACAAGCTCATGTCAACAGGGTGCAACAAGACTAGAGAAAGATATACCGTCAGGTTACATTTGTATTCTGGATGTATGTGTATGTGCAATTTCTATAAAAAAAAAAAAACCCATACCTTTCTGTAGAGTGGCTTGGCTCACATTAAGCCCCTGACGTTGGCATTGCTCAATAGATTTGAGGTATTCTCTAAAACAAAGTGTCCTAAAACGATCCACTTCTCTTCCCATACTGCCACCCAGAGAAGAAGGACAAGAGGTCTTGGTGGCTGCCAAAACTCTCCTCATGATCGCCAGCACCTCCACGTCCTGCATGCCCATCTAGAAACATTAACATCCAAAGAGCTCTATTACAGATGTAACATAACTCAACTGACATATTATCAGTACTGTAATTAATATTCTTTGAATAAAAAAACTATTAGTAATATTTAGAATTGTGTGATTATAATTATAGTTTTAATTACAGTGGTGGGAACATGGTACTGTGATGGTTTCTGTTGGTAATAAAACACTTTAATTTACCACGGTATTACATGATTACCATATAAAAGTATGTCAATAATACCATGGAATTATCACCATTTGTTGGTATGATGAAAAGTTATTTTTAAAGCATAATCTTAACAAAAATGGACTGTAATTGTTTATACTTTTATGTGTTGCAGTACCTCATCATCTTTCTCCTCTGAAATTGCATGTATTGGAAGATGGTGTCTTGTCCAAGTTGCTTTCTCATGGTCTGCGTTCCAACCTAAACATAAATACACAATGCCTTATGCTGTTACAAACTGAAAGAAATAATGTTCCTACTAAGAACTATTTAGTTTCTCCCTTTACCCCTTGACTAATAATATATACCAGCATTTGATTTGTGTTCTTCCCTTTCCCGATGCTTTCCGTTCCAGGCCTGGATCCCAACAGCCAGGTTTTCCACAGTTACCGAGTTTCCATCCTCACTATTTAATGAGGACATCAGCACGTTCATTCGCTCAGGCTGTATGAAGAGGCCTTCCTACAAGCCAAAACACACTTTTTACTCCTACAATGTTCTTAAAAGTGTGCAAAATCAAAAATATAAAAAATAAATAATTGCCAACACTATGTATTGCACAGTGATCACCTTCTTAAACAGAGCACAGAGATCTACACGCTTTAATTTACTAGTCCCATACGAGTCCAAGAATTTGGAGAGATTGCATGCTTCGGGAGCGCGCAGAAAGCTCTTCACTTCTTCAACTTCACGCCTGAGTGCACGCGGAGACTGTGATATAAAGACAAAATAAAGGTAAAGATAAAGGTAAAGATAAAGGCCTTTTTTAGCCACTTTTCTAGTTTGTAAACGTGATTCTATGTATCAGTATCTGTATCAAAATATGTTCTTACAGTTGTAACATCTGGTTGAGGAGGGAAAATTATTGTTTTTGAAGGGGATGTCATGCGCTTATCTTGACTGTCTCGTTCCGTGATGAGAACCTCCAGTTCGGTGAGAATCGGTTTATTATGGAGCCATCTGCGCAGATCTCCCATACCGTCAAGCGCTTCTCTAAACGCTTTCCTGTCGCGGATCCAGTCCGGGTGTTCCGCGGGCTTGTCTCCAGGCAAGCGCGTGTAGAATTCAGCAGCGCCTCTGATGTCTGATGTAGGTATTGCAGGTCGAGCCGCGTCAAAATGCTTCGGTTGCGGTCGAGTCGGGGGAGAGATTTTTACCCTTTCCATGATATGGTTCCTAAAGGCACTTCCACTGCATTTTTGTGGTTTAAACGAGCCACATGCCATTTGAAATAGGTAATTCTCTGTCAAATCACGTTTTTTTAACCGCCTGAATTCCTCTTCCAGCGTCTGTTCACCCAGTAAACACTCCGTCCCCAGAGCCATTATTGAATTTTTGGCTCTATGTAAGAAAAAATCTTAAAGATATTAAAATAAAGAGGACGCTAAAGTGTAACATATCATGATTTTTACAATTTGAAACGCCACTCGTTTCTTGAAGCTGTGTTAACTAAAGTCTATTGGTGGCATGTTGACATTTGTATCCATGACTCCCATTCTGACTCAAAGGTCAAACAAACTTCAAGTTTTGCATCTGAATAATACTTTTGTTTGTAGCACGATACTACCACAATAACATTTGACATTTACTAGCTATAATTGCAATAGTGCCAAATAGGTAGGCTACTTACAATTTGGCCCCTTGTAATTTATTTTTCAGGACCATTTTTACCTTTATGGGAGCTTATTATTTTATAACCATATAAAATACACATCAGGTACCTCAATTACTTAATTTAAATCAATTCACTGAAATACATTTTCAAAACCGAACAATTATAGCTTTTAATTGTAATCATTTATGACATCAAATTCAAAAGTAAAAGTAAATAATGGACTAGTTCAGAGTCTATTACAGTATATATTACAGTCTATGCATTCGATTGTCCATCTTTCCTGAGTGAATAGAACAGTACTTGTGAACTTTTTTTTTTCCTGGTAAGATAAGATATGCATAATTTATTATTTAAATGTGGAGTTTAGTTTATCCCAGCAGTGCATGATCCAGAATGTGTTCTTCCTGTACTGGGTTGGGCATTGTGACTCTTAGCTGACTCTGATCCTCCATGGTACGTTGAATTGCCTCATAAGCATTAGCGTTGCCTGACCAGCATCTCCGTGCCACCTAGTGATACACATCAGTATTTACATACAGTATAATCATGTATGCATTTATATATATTTACACAAAAGATAATCACCCCATTAGAGACATCCCAGTTCAACATTAGTCTAGCTCTCTGTCCTGCCTCTTCAGAACCATCCAGAACCAATCCAAAACCACCATTTATCACTTCTCCCCTAAAAAAAAAATCAATATCGAGTCAATAATTAAAGCACTAATAACTAATATCTTTTTTATGGTACATTTTTATTCTTTTTTTTTTTTTTGCTCAATCAATAATACAAAATAGCAAGAAATCAGTAACATGTTTTATCTATAGAAAAAAAAAAATCATCAATAACAAATCAAATCTCTACATACCATCCAACTCCGCCTCCATTGTGCAAAGCAACCCATGTGGCGCCACGGAATGCATCACCAACAAAATTCTGCACTGCCATGTCTATAATAAATGCAAAGACATGAATCTATTAAATAGTCTCTATGGAAAACTTAATGCTGATTGGTCAATCACAACATTCTATATTCAGATATTTTGTATAATGACAGCTATAAAGAATTATTTACACTTAAATCATGGTAATTTATTTTTTGTTCTCTAAGTAGCCATGTAATTAGCAAGATAATGTATATTCATTCATTATCGCACAATAAACCCACTCAGGATAACACAACACCCCTCCTAATCACCTTCTCAGCTTTATTTTACAATGTCAATATGACTGTACATTATCCTTACTTAGTGTATAGTTAGTATGGTGTATGAGTATGGTTATATACAACTTGTAGTTCATTTGTATATCTGCACTATGTTCAAAATTATTATGCAAGTGACATATAAGTAGGATTTTAGTACAATGCACATTCAGATATTAGTTTTTCAAAGAAAAGGTTTGTTTTACTTCTCATATCTTTTTAGATAACTGGTATCAATCTCAGACAGGCTTGTTCAGTAGTTTGCCATGTCTTCTTTTAGTTTTCATGCAATATGGGGAGGAAAAAAGATCTTTCTGAAGATGAAAAACCTGAAATGGTGCACTGTCTTGCGAAAGGAATAAAAAAAATGAGGATTTTGATTTTAAATCAAAAGATTTGTGAGTGATTTAGAGCATAGAAGAACTCAGTCAGATAAAGGGTAATTAAGAAAAGTTTCTGTCAAACAAAAGGGTTTACAGCTGTTCTTTAAATACAATTCATTTGTTTGACAGAAACTTTCCTTTAAAAAAAAGCTTTATCTGACCATGTGCTTCTGTGCTCTAAGTCTAAATCACTCACTATTCATTTTTCACAAAATATTATTTTTTTACCTTTTGCGAGACACTGCACCTTCTCATGCTTTTAATCTTCAGAAAGATCTTTCATCCTCCCCATATTGCATGAAAACTGGCTTAATAATAATAATAATAATTGTTGTCATGGCCAACTATAACCATCAAGCCCCCGCCGGCGCTCTGAAGCGTTTTTTTTTTTATTTAGTTCAAAGTTACTATCAGATTTAATGTTATACCTTGACAAACTATACATCACTAAAAAGATATAAGACTCAGGTTTCAGTATTTGACCACTATTGTATTGTGAGAAACGTATAGTGACAGTTATGTCTTAATTTGTTTCAGGAGTTATGAAATGAAGAAAATTAGTCGATACCTTTAATATGAATTATGAGCGTCAGCTGGTGCATTCAGAAAAAAAAACTCCGTCCTGTTTTCATGACAGCGATTCACAAAACAACTTCCCTCGGGGATTTAGCTCAAAAATGTGTAGACTTGGAGAAAATATTGATTGATTCTCATAGATTCACATCATATTTCTATAGACAGGAATACTATTTATTGAATTTATACTAAAATGCGTCGATATAATCATTATGAGCGCTTCTTCCTGAGATGTGCTGTATTTTCAATTCATACCAAAAGCATGAGGGCGCTGTCTGCACAGTTTATTCCATATATGGCACATGAAGAACAAAACATAACTGTCATGTGACAGTCCAGGACCAGGGACTGCTGTCATGAACTGCCTGACGAACTAACAGAATCGCTGTAACATGCAAATAACTACGTTTTGAAGACAATAAACATGATTGCAATTATATTTGAGTTACCTTTGTTCTTCGAGCCATGCCAGGTATTTTCATAATAATAGATTATATTTATAATGTAATGCTAATCGATATAGATTTTTTCATTGTGCACAATACAATAAATAATATATTTTCGGTCAGATTTTTTATCTGAAGCCAAATTAGATCACAGAAGATTATATAAAACACTCGACTTACGTTATAAAGTAAGTTTGGAGCAAAACATGGTTTTAATCTCATAAATTGCCGTGTATTGATGATGTGCTAAGCTAACATGCTAATATTAGCTCGCCAAGGTGCACCTGTCATCACTAGTCTAGAAGTTATTCTTTTATGATTTTTTCCCAAATAGGAATGCTTACTAAAATGTTTCAGTGCATTCGATTCAGTCACAAAGGTGGAGCTAGCACTTTGATAAAAGAAATTAGGGTTTGAAACCCTATGAACAGCTTGTGAATAGCAGTCGTTAGTAGCTATAATGCAGACAATAAAAATGCATATGTTGAGCCATAACCAGTCTGTAAAGGTGTGAATGTGTGCATGGGGAGACTGAGACTGAATGGGGCTCGTTTGCACCATAAAACAATAAAGACAATAGACTGAATAGATGACTTAGAAGATGACTAAACATCAGTTTGCATTTTAGAGTCTAATCAAAATAAAGTAATTTGACATGATCTTGAAAAACAGGCAACTAAATACAGAGTTTTAGACTTATCATTTTCAGATTTTAAATATAAAATGGTCACACATACGGCTTTAGCTGCAGTGCATTTCTAGATTGCTACAGGGCCAACTTCAATTTTATTTTCATGAAGATGTTTCATAAAAATAAATTTCTAATAACTTTACAAAACTTTGGAGCTATTTAAAAAAATGTTTTTCATTATGACAATAAAAAATTCTACATTTCCAATAAACTACTAGGTGTAAGCTTTCAAATGAGATCATAATTGTGCTTTTAGTGCAAAGGGTTCATGAATTGTATCTGTTTCAGTTTGGGTATGTCATTTCTGGGGATTTTTCAAAAGTGGGATTAAAGGTTAACAGGTTAACATGGCAGTCATGGCAAACTACAAACCTGTCTGAGATTGATACCAGTTATCTAAAAGTATAAAACAAAAAACACTGTAGTTGAAAAACTAAAATCTGAATGTTTATTGTACTGAGATCCTACTGATATGTCACTTGTATAATAATTTGAAAGATGGTATAGATGTGTCTTTGTGTACCTGCGCAGAAGGCAGAGCCATCATAAACATTGGAGGTCTCCCTGAAGGGGCTGTCTGTCCCACTGACATCATGATGATCTCTACTGATGACTACTGGAGCCTGAGGGGGGGGAGGAGACAGTTGCACTGATATGTTGCAAAGCGTGTTATAATGAATCATAATTAAATGAGTTCAGTGTATGCACACGTAAATTACCGAGACTTTCCCTTTAGCAATGGCTTGGTTTATTGCCAAGGCAATGGAAAACTCTTCCTC